CAAAGTGGACTGAGGCACCCAACCAGTTTCAGAGCAGTGAACTCCGGCACAGAAATTCCAAACGACTCGCCCAAAGACTTACTTTTCTCTTTGCTGAGGCAAAATACCCAACGCAGCAGTTATGGAAAGAAAAGTTCATTTCAGCTCAGTCTGTGGAGGCTTCATCCATAGTTAGCTGGCTCCTGGGCAGGGTGGCATGGCAGAGGGGCACTGCAGACGGGCAGTGCAGGGCGAAGGACGGGCAGGAGCAGCAGGAGCAGCAGCTTTCTGTCTCCTTACACTCATCCCACCCGGGCTACACTCTGATTGCTAGTGGGACTCTCTCAATCCAGCATCTTATCCCCAGTGCCAACACATCTTTAATCCTGGAATGCCACACCTGGACCCAGCCACTCAAAAAGCCCCACCTGTGACCACGAGAGGCTTTGAGGGGACGGCGAGGCACAGCCAGCTCAAAGACCAAGGCAGAGCTACGTAATGTAAACCAGGCTCTTACTTCACCTGCCAGGACACGGTAGCTACGTCAAGCTGCCGTGATGATGGAGTTTTGAAGAAAGAAGCACAGACACGCATCAAATGAGGCTGTTTATGTAACTGTTAGGGCTCAGGGATGCTGTCTGAGAAATCGGACTTACTGTCCTTCACAGCCACAAACACAGCTAAATCAGTGTGAACTTAAAGCTTTCCACCTCATTCTGGAAACAAGACAGGGACAAAATCATCCAATTAGGAAAGCTTGAACATTTACTTAAAAATACATCCTCTGTTAACGTGGACTTCACACATAATGGATTTTAAAAGATTCCTCGGTATCAGGAGTTCACACAAACAGCACATGAAAGCTTTAAAACTACACAAATAAATATTTAAAAGTGACATTTTTTAATTGACCAGAGACTTTTATCCTTCTGTTGGTGGGGCAGGTGACAGTGACGGTTTGAGGTTTGGGTGAGAGAGAATGTTTTCCCAGACACTAGTGCCGACCACCGTGGGTACTCAGAGCAAGGGTTTTCACCTACTTGGCCACACTTTCCTATACAGATGTGGACTGGAGAAGCACACGGATCCCATGGAAATGAGAAATCCAAGCTTTTCAGGAAGATGTGACTCGAGAGACACCGGCAGTTTGCATGTGAATCACTGTCCGCACAGCTTAAGTGCAGTTAAGAAAGCAAATGCGTTAACTCTACTTTAGCTATTTACGACGGCAGCCTGGAAGCTGAGCCTTGCAATGCTGACTGCTAAACAAACCGACAGTGATTTGTCACACAACATAGGAGCAAGGCTGGAAGGTTCTGATCCAGCCATAAACCAAAAGCCTTGTCAAATTTTATTCGACACATTCCGAGCAGAAACCACTGCTTACAGGAAATGTGTAGCCAAAAGAGTTTACTTACTGAGTTTTAGAAGTCTGAGCTGGGGATTTAGCACAGTGGCACAGGCACCTGCCTGCCAAGTACGAGGTTGTGAGTTTGATTCCTGGCACCAAAAACGGGAAATTTAATATTATTTTAGAAATAGCATACATTTCTTCAACAGAGTAAAACATTAAGAGCAAGTAACAATTTAACCAAGGAGTCTCCTTTTATCATTTATTCTACCAAAGAAGAACCCTATTTCTAACTCTGTCATGTCCAAAGGTTAAAGGGGTTGCAGAACCAGCTCAGTGATCTTAAATCTAGAACTGAATCTTGTTCTGCTTTCTCCCTGGGCCTATTAACTGCTACCACCTCCAAAATAAAAACTGTCGGGGCTGTAATACTCAGTTCTATTTTGCTTCTGACTAGAAAACTCGCAAGTAACCAGCTGTATCAGATACACTGATATGGACGTTATGGAGAATGCTCATGAATTAGTTTTATAATTGTGTTACTTACACAAAAACTTAACTCGGAGCACTGACTTGCTGGGACCAGGATACAGCTCAGCAGTGCAGTGCCCGCCTGGCAAGTGCAGGGTCCCGAGTTTGACTCCGGGTCCCTCACCCCTACCACCCCGCCCCCAGTACAGAACCTGATAATACTGCTCCATGCCTAAGTGGACCGTGGGAGAAAGAGCACCAGAATATTAAAAACAAAGCTCTGCCATCTCGTGGCACAGCGAGGAAACACAGTAGCACCAGGACTACTTCAATCCAAAACCAAGAATGGTTCTATTATTTTTCCACAATCTCCTGACAACAATTCTGCCTAGGATTGTCCTCAAGTAGATCACTGACACCCAGGTTTTCCTAAATCTGCACAATCGCATTACCATCTTTGATAAAATCAGGTCTCAAGGCTGCTTTCTGTGTCTGCCATGAGGTATTAGTTTGAAATTAGCAGGCATCAAATTACAACAGAAAAGTGGGATGCAACCCATGTGACGTCCACAGGAACAGCTAAAGCACTGTTTTCCCTTCCGGATTCTGGCGCATCTGCCTCCTCTCCCTAGTAACAGTAACAGCAACTGATTTCCGAGCATGAATAACACTGATAAATTGATCCTCACCACAAATCTCCCAGATGGACTATTCATGAATTACACATCTACTGAAGCAGTTAATTAGCACAAAATCAGTGAAACAGAGAGATCTGAAAAGTTAACACTTCTACGCAGACCAGTATTTAGTCTCAAACTCGTGTTGTGAGCTGGTATCTGAGAACCTTTAGAAGCATTTGTGTGCTGAAGCCGCAGAAGCCAGGTCGGTGAAAGATTTCAACTTGAGAGCCCTAAGGAGTCCCGAGTGTCCTGGGTAGCTGGGTAGAAAGTCTCAGTACCTTACATGTCAACTTAGGACTGTATTTCCTGGAGAATCATGGAAAGTGAAACAGCGACACCTTCACTTAAAAGGACTTTGTCTTACGAAACGTAATTCTGAAAAATGAACGTGATAGCAGCTGCTTTCCCACAGTTCCGTGATTCCTGCTGATGATTCTTAATCTTACCTACAGCAGTGAGGCTTCAAATCCCATGAAAGTAGCCAAGTTCCAATTCTACGGTTTCAAGATTCTATTCCCGAGGTTTATGTCATTTGGTGTATTTATGCGTCCCACATCGTTTTCGCTTTGGAGTGCAGTTCTTAAATTTCTAAGTTTGGGTATTTATCCCGACATTCTGTAGTCATATTAACCTCATTTATTGAGCCAGTTTCTCCACTTTCCCAAAATTTTCACCACTGCTATTCTATATGGGCTCTTGATTCTTCCAATGGCCTGGTGGTTGTCTGAATGTTACTGCTGTGTATACTGCTGTGAAACTAAATCACCTGGTGGAAACTGCTGTCAGATCATTCTCAAGGCTTTGTGTATTCGTTTATACGTACCTACTTATAAACGGGAAAACCCAATCTCTCGACTGTACTCTGGGAACTCACTGTGGTACATGCATTGGTGTGTTTATACAATGGAACAGAGCACACAGCTATTAAAATGAACATGTCAATGGGCTGCTCAAACACTGGGTGAAATAGTACAGACATACACGTCCCTGAATTTGATTTACAAACATTACTATTATCATTTCCCTAATGAGTTCCTGTTATAAAGATTTATAAATTGTAAACAGCTACGAAGCAGTGAAAACAGAGAATTACAGCAGTGTATGGAAACACAGATGAAGGTGGGACCTTCTTGTATGAAGGACTCCTGAAGCTACTCAGCTCACCCCGAGTATCTGATGTCCCTAACAAAAGTCTAAGTGCTTCTGTGGATGTCTGGAGCAGTTAATAAACTTTTGTCTTTAATGTGAATTTTTTGGCACCAGGAATTGAATCCAGACCTTTGGCGCTGTGCTGTGGGCTGTATCCTCAGCTCCAGTTAAACATTTTTGACAAAACCACTTTCTTGTATCTGTAATTTTTATTTAAAAAGTTTTCTCCCCCACCCCGTCTGCCAGCTTTTTATCGCTGCAATGTCATCTGTAGCTAAAGCATTTTTCAATCTTAAACATTCCCGTTATTTGGAAACCTGGGCTGATATGTAGAACCTAGATGTTATGCAAATGCGGTAAAAGAACTAAGCAGTGCCCGCCTGGCAGGTCCCACTCAAAGTGGAGCACCTGATGGCACACACCGAGCACTGTCAGTCACCTGCTGGGTGCGGGTGAGGGACGGACGACCCCACATCCCTCAGCGCAGAGCTCCTGGCTCACTTCCCTGCTGCTCAAGTTTCCAGTTCTGCTACTGGGGCATCACGACCTCAGCTCCGATGGAACTCCTCTACCTCGACTGCACAACTTGTGCTACGCGTCTGAGATGAATTCAGGGAAGACGGCACCTTTGCTAACACCGATCAGCTAGATTACAAGGGTCAAGGCACAGCTTCCGCTGAAATAAAAAGTACTTCAAAAGTATGTGGTAATCATGATTCCCCATTATACTGCTTTGAAGCCTTGTTTCATTATCATCAGTTGGAATGGTTTTATTCTGGGGTGTTTTATTGTCTGTGAGGGTATGAACAGCTATTTTGAAGAAAACAAGACATTATAACAGCTAGTGCTGACTTAATATCGTTTTGAAGTCCTACCAAGCTTTTGTTGTTTCCATCAGTTTTATCATGTTGTACCTTAATGGATTTTATTATATGTGATAATATAAACAAAATTTTATATAGACAAGGAGATAATGTAGTAAACATTGTTCATTTTCTGTTACTTGGTTCTGAATACCTTGTAATACTTTCATTCTCTTGAATGGTTTTAAACTGTCTTGTTATGTTTGATACTATACTATATGAAAGTATACTCAAGTATTTCAAGGAAAGACACACTATGGTAGGTACTGTTATGTCGGGTTGTCTTGTGGTGAAACACTATGTTGCTTATATTGTTCTGTTCTGTTTTGTCATGCCCTCTTTTAATTTTTAAAATAAAAAAAGAAAAAGTACTTCTTATTGCTGTACTCTTTCCTAAAGAAGCAGTAAACAGCCAGCTGCCTTTTAAACTGTAGCCATTCTTTTTTCCAGGAGTATATTCTTAAACTAAAACAGGGTTTCACATTATAATAAACAGACAAAAGACACTCCAAGTACAATTTTTTAATAAAGATAATTATAAAAGATGGAAAAATCCGCTCAGAAAGGCCAAATACTTTAATAGATCAGTTTCTGACATTTTCTGACATAAGTCCACACATCAGTTTTAAATACTATCACATAAAGCATGGTGGAGAAAAGAAATTCTGCTTCATAATTAGAAAAACTCACAAAAAACTTGCCAAGAAAAACAAAACAAAAAAAGCCATTTGAAAATAAATACAGTCCATGCCAAAGTAGTATAAAATGAAGCCAGAAGTCTTCAAAGTAAAGTTTGTGTTCCAACGTTTCCTCACTTTTTAATGACTTTCTAAAACTGGGAAGACGCTCACACTCAGGGGTTGCTGAGTTGTTCTGATTTGGCTCTGTTGAAAGAGGCAACGTGAAATATTAATGACATGAGGTAAAGCAGAGATGGCGGGGGCAGGGGCAGCCATTTCGGAGATGGGAGACGGAATCAGGGAGAGGGAGGAGGCGGAGAAGAGGAGAGTCAGAAAGGATCACAAAGTCAGTTCTCCAAAACCTACAGGATTCTTGTGTACTGCAAACGCACATCAATGAAAAAAGTTTCAAATTTTTCACAACTAGAAATAGTTAATTACATGAGCTGGTGGGTACATCAGCTAGATTTAATTATTCCACACTGTGTATATATCACACGGAAATTTTAACAGTTACCTGTCAAGAGTAAATCGAGAAACAGGCTTGCACTTTCCATAAATGTAAAGGCCAGACTAAGACCAGACCCAATTGTCTGGCGGATACTGACAATATTCAGTGACACATGCCAGTTGGCAGGAAGCGCAGAGGGTGTCTGATTACACGAGATAAGCACACGCCCCTCTCTTCTCTAATAACCAAGAAGGGCATAATCTTGTCTAAATACCCTAACCTATTTTACTTCACTCATCTGGTCCAGCAGATTTATGCCAAGAAACACTAGCAGCTGATAAAGCCCATGTGTTTTCAATAATAAATGGTAAAGGTTAATAGAAAAAAGGTCTCAGTGCATCTCGTGCAAGCATAAATTCAGAGACAGCTGCAGTGGCACACACCGATAATCAGGAGTACAGGAGGCTGAGGCGGGAGGATCACACGTTCTAGCCCTCCCGGGGCAAGGCAAAGTGTCCTTGTGTCAAACAGAAAGGAGCTGAGCATTCTTCCTGTTACAGTGAGGAGCCCTGGGTCCTCACTAATAAACAAACACGCACATATATACAAATGAAAGACTCGGAGCACCTGGCACAACTCTCTGACATTCCCAAATTCTGTCCTGTGCTTATCATGTAGATGTATACATGCACACACACACACCCCACCCAAACAACTTTAAACAAATTAAAACAGATGTATCAGTGCAAAAGTTACTAGATAAGGAACGTTATTTACCCTTTGGTATCTGTTTTTTCACCACTATTGTCCTTCGATTTATCTTCTTCTTTTACATCTAAAATCAAAGAGTAAAGAAAGGTGAAAGCCCATTTTGCAGTAGAAGATGCATGTGTTTCATTTAAACACATGTGTTAAAGGCTGGCCTCCAACCTCACTGTCAGTGAGTATGGTAACACAATCTGTTTATTAGGGGTCGAGCTAAACGCCCCGGGTCCGGCTGCCGGCTGCGGGCCGGCCCTGGCCTCAGGACTCTGCACCTTTCTCCACAGTCTTCACCCGAAACAGGGCTCACAAAACTCCATCTTTCGCTAAGAGAAAACAGTGAAGTTTTCTACATTATAAAAGCGAGTGTGGGTAGCTACACTTAGCTTCACATGAAAGCCATTTAAAGGTTAAGCATCACATTCATAAACAAAACACAAGTCACCCTGTCCACCTCCACTCCCTGGTGCTGTGCAGGTAGGTGTGTCAGGGCTCGCAGCAGGGTCCCGCAGCTCTCAGGTTCAAACACACGCAATGAGAACACTTACAAAAACACGGATCTGACCTGCTTTTTTGTCTTCTGCTTCCTTCTTGTCCTCTTCGATTCTAGCTTTCTTGGCTCCTTTCTTATGATCAGCCACATTCCTCCGGCCTCCTTCCCCTTCGTCCTCCGAGTCTGAGAACTCCTCGTCACAGGCTATCCGCTTGTCGGACGCACGAACTGACAAGAAGGGACCGTGAGTGTTGGTGCAAACAGCCCCGGGCTTCCAGCCACACCACGCGCTTCACTACTGCGGTTAAAAGCTCTCGGTTCATAAATGGTTTGCTCACTACCGAAAACTTAGCTGTCAACTGTGAAGAACCCTCCCCAAAGGTTAAAATTAGAAACACTGCAGGGGGCAGTGGTGGGGACTTAGCTCAGCGGCACAAGCCCCTGCCTGGCAAGTGTGAGGTTGGGAGTTCGATCCCCAGCACCACAAGAAAGAAACAAGCAAACATTTGGGGACAGATTGTTTTAAGGTAGAAGGACAAAACTTTTTCTAAGTAGGAGGTGGGAATAATGTTATACCTAAAAGACATTTCTTTTATCTTAGAGCTGAGAAGTAGACTACACAAAAATGGTGATACTGAACACGTTAGATTATCTATGCTACAAATCCAACAATCTCATTACATTTCGTGGGAGGCTATAAACTCAAGACAGAAAGTATCTGATGCTATGTAACTCTTCCTACACAGAGCAAATGGGACGCTTCCCAATTGATCCCCAAATGTAACGAAGTGGCTCGTTTCCCAAGGCTTGCGGAGAGTCACATAAAGAAACTACTGATGTGGGCTGGGGATTTAGCTCAGCAGCATAAGCGTCTGCCTTGCAAGCAGGCAGTCATGAGTTCAATCTCCGGTACCGATAAAAAGGAAAAAAAGACCAAAAAAAAAAAAAAAAAAAAAAAAAAAACTACTGATGCTTGAATCAGGCTTAAGATATCAGGAAGTTCATACTACCTAAGGTCAAAAGATGGAGAAAATTATAATAAAGTGTGTATAAAACATGCCCCCCAGGGCCACTGTGGGGTCACGGGGGCCCGAGGGGTTGTTTCAGGAAAATGGAAAAACATGACAGCACAGCGCGGCGGCAGGGCCTTACTGGAAATCCTCTTGTCTGGGTCCTCGCCGTCTTCGTCTCCGCTGTCCTCATGAACTGCATCTTCCGGGATAGCCTGCATCTGGACCCCGGGAGCATGAGGTAACATGCGCAGATTTTCAAACAAGCGCTGCCTGAACCACAGACACAACCTTGTCAGACAAAACTCTGTGTATTTCAAGTTCCTCTTACGTGTAAGAGGAAACAGGAAGCAAGAAACTTCTTTTACCTAACTTAAATCTACAAATTAAATGTCCACTAAACACTAAAACTCCATGTATTAATTAATTCAACTACAGAACCTACAGTACAGACACCATGTTATCTCCTGTTCTGACAGGAAACACAACACCACGGCTGGGGACCTGCCCAGGGTCGCAGTGCTAGTCTAGGGCTGGGAGGACGCACACCCTCCCTGGGGAATGTTCTGCATAAACCAAGTGAGCACTCACTTTGATGTAAATTTTACAGTGCCCTCTGCCTTTTAAAACTGTGTTTCAACTGGTAAAAGTGAAACTATTGTTGATATGCGAGGGTCCTATCTTGCTGCCAGCGATCAATAATCTTAGGGCTTCAGAACCTTCTGAGAAGGACAAAGGAAGTAACCAACGTATAAAGCTAAGGACCCGCACTCCACATGCCCATCAAGCCTTCCAAAGCTCTGCCAGGATGAAATGAGCAAAGCGCCATTCAATGGCTGCTTACTTTATCTTTTCCATGTATTCCGGGGTGTTCTGGTTTGTCATGTTTGAAGGGCTGATATGCAGTTTGAAGTCCGGTCCAAAATACTCAAAATAGTCATTATATGGCAACTCTGTGAACGGTAGAACAGTTACAGGTAGGGAAGCATTTCCAAAGACAATGGTTAAAAATAAGCACAAAGCGAAGGCATTCCTGCTTCCACGCTTTGGAATCTATCTGCTCTGAACCCACTCTACTCATCTGTCTGCTTCAGCGTGAACACTGTGTGTTGGGGTTTGTGCTGGGTGCCTCCCACCAAGCCTCACGCAGTCATGGCCATGGCTGGGTCTAGTGTCTGTGAGGAGACGTCGGCAGCGCGGGGATCGGCATACAAGACGGGGTGGGAAGGGAAGGAGGCCTGCTGTTCTCCCTTCTGCCCTATCTGCTCACAGTTTGTGGCCGCCCTCAGCCAAGCCACCTGCCTTGGAGCCAGCTGCCAGGTACTTTGTCTCAGCACGAGAGAAAGGTAAGCAAGACACTGTAAAACGGACACTTACCATTAGGAATCTCACAATCCAGAGCCACTGCGGTCTCGTAGGTCCAACACCGAGCCACATTGCGGATGGTGTACCCGCCTCCCCCGAGCATCAACAACGGCAAGTTGAAAGTTTTCACAACTTCTACACACTTAGCGTGACCTGAGACAAAGAGCATCTGGGTAACTACCATGTGATTATACTGCAAAGAGAATTTAGGGGCCGAGGCAGAAGGGAAGGAGCGTAGGAGTATATAAAAAAGATTAAGATGACCATGTACTACATGCACTAAAAGAATTAAAGTATGTACACACATTTTTATTCAGATAGAAAGGCTTGTGGCCCAGGTTTCAGGGGGAGGGAAGTTATACTGAGACATAATCTCAAAGTTCCATTTCCGCTTCCCCTAAAGACATGTATAGAACTATGGAAGAACTATGAAGGTTGTAAGACAAAGCTTGACATTACTTTAGCAGTAGTATTAAATAATTTTGTTATCAAGGATTATTAATATTCATATACAGGGCTCAAAGTAAAGATGAATTACAAAACCAAGTATTTTCTATGAACAAATGTCAGTTCAGTAACCATTTACAAGCCACCAGTAATTTATTGGTATTTTTATCATGTAGGTACATAACTGAGTCACCAAAAGATTTCTTCCATTACAAAGTCATAAATATTGAAGAATATTTAGAAAAAAATCAATATTTAGAAAGAAACTAATCATCTCAACAGTGATGGCAAACCTTTTAGAGCCCAAGTGTCAAAACTGCCACCCAGAACCCACTTCTTTATCACGATGGGATAATATACCAATTAAAAACAAGCCTACATTAACATCTTAGTCATGAAAACACAGTAACACGGTGACTGACCTAAAACCACACTGTCCTATGAGTTTATTTAAACGTGCTCCTCAGCTAACTGTGTACTAGGCATTTCCAAATGCTTCAGTACTGCACTGAAAATGTTATTCCTTTAGAAAAACCTGGGTTTCTCATAATAAATGTAAACTAGTTGAATATTTTTAAGGATATACAAAAAGCTCAACTTATCAATTTCCAAACACACCCTGCAGGTAAACCAATGACATTTACTTTTCTGTCACCCCAAACGCTGGTAGTTTGGTAATAGGGGACAAGAAAACTAAGTTAATGTAAAACTCCACAAAAATGAATTGTACACAGTAGAAAAACGGGGTTCACTGAAAGATGCTGTTGCTTCTACTGTAAGCAATGCACAACACAATCAAAATTCTGACAGGGGAAACGAAATGTGGGAATGTCGCATATGTGCTGGGAACAAAGTTTTAAGAAGAGGTAAATCCCTTCTTCCATAATGGAAAGTTCATATACAGAGTTCAAACTAAAAGATAAATTACACAGCCAAGTGTGTGTGTTGCCTGGTGAAGGTGAAGACCAGGAGGATCAATGAAACACGGCAGACAGTTGCCTCAATCAGGAAGACAACAAGCCTTACTGGAACTTTTCATGTGCACATGTGTATGTGTGCAAAATAAAACAGTACCTAACCGCATAACCACGCTAAGTGCAGTCACACACATGCATCAGACAAAAAGCTAGCACAGCGGAAGGCAGAGTCTGGTATCACAGCAGCAGGCAAGGAACTGTGGAGACCTTTTCAAGGCAGTTCTGGGGGAGACAAACCCCTTCTGCTTTCTGGGATGCTGCCCTGTACCCCGCTTACCTTTGACTGTGAGGTTGAAGCACCCAAGCCTGTCGCCAGATAGAGAGTCTGCACCACACTGCAAAACCACCGCGCTAGGCTGATACATCTCCATCACTTTCGAGATAATCTACACACAAAACAACAATCAGCATCAGCATCTCAGTAACCCTGCACAATGTGACTTCCCTTTACACACGGAATACTCACAGGCTTAAATATCTGCCCGTAGGACTCATCGTCTATTCCGTCTCTCATTGGAAAGTTGACAGCGTAGTATTTGCCCTTTCCAGCACCAATATCCTAAAATGCGTAAGTGGATTTTAGAGAATGTTTCACAATAAAACCTGACATATTTACATGTTTTTTAAAAGACTGACAGTCTTTAAGAGTGAAGAAATTTAATAAAAACAGCTAAAGGAAATATTACATTATACCACCCAAGGGTCTCCTATGCAGAAGATACAAGGAGGCAGACTGAAGCCTGCAGGAGAGATTTATCAGGACAACGGTCTCTAACACAGAATCTGCGGGGCCCACATGTGGTAAGAGTTTACGACCCAAAGCCCAGAATGCAGGGTTTTTTGAGACAGGGCCTTGCCGTGTAGTTCAGGCTGGCCTTAAACTCACAGACATCCTCCTGCCTCAGCCACCGAGTCTGGGAATTCACAAATGCACCACCATGCCCAGCTCTTGAAGTTAAAGCGTCACACATACTCTTCAATTACACTTGAAATACATTTTGTTTCTACCTGTTGAGTACTGGTGTAGACATTTAACACCCTTCCAAAGACGCAAAGGACAGAAGGACTTGTATTCTAGACACACACAGTAGTATCTGTACCCACTTGTATATGCTATGCCTGTGTTTATGTATCTGTATCTGTGATGTGAGTGTATATACACACCCCGAGAACACTGGTTCAGTGAGGACATTTCTACAAAAGAAGGTGCCAACACAACATCAAAGGACTAGAAGCGTGCACTCCCATGGGATCTAAGTGCTGTCCGAGGGTGCTGCTCCTCCGGGTTATAACATCTGTGTGAACTGTCCAGAATCTCTCAGGGAATGGGTTAGCTCAAATCCACTTGTACAGAAGCACAGCGCACCTTCACCCATGACCCGACTTCCAACGAAGAGAAAGAAATCAGATTACACCAGCTCCTTCCACAGCTTTTCTTAAGGAATCTACATCTCCACGCCTAACTAAACACTAATTCTATCAATGTGACCTCGTCCCAGCTGAAACACTGCACACTTTGACCTAGGGACTTCAGAGCAGCTCTTCCTACCCTAAGTAACGGCTGAAGGCTCAGCCCTGAAAGCTATCCCCAATGAGCGAACCTCTACTACTTTCTCCTTTCCTTGCAACTGCTATGTGATCACATCTTTATTTCCTTCTTCCATCCAGAGTGATTAAAGCACCAAGAGTTTTAGGAATGAAGGAAGCTCAGAGTAGCTTTCTTTTCAGTTTTAAAATGAATAGGCAAAAAAGAAAATGCTTATTAAACTATGCAACACTCAAAGATACACAGGAATTCTGCAAAAAAGCCCCAATACAGGAAGGCTTGTTTGATTCCCACTGGGACACAATGGCTGCGGTTCACAAACACCTGCTCCTGGGGCTGAGAACTGCGCTTCCTGCTGGACGCCCACTGGTCTTACTGTGCTCATTAGGAACCACTCTGAGGACCATTGGTCTACAAGAGTAAATCAAGAGAAAAGGAAGACGCTGAAGGAGCTAATGGGACCCAAAACCTGAAATTATGGATCTATTGTTTCATAAGCCAAAATACTCAGCATCCAAATTGTTACCCATTTATAAATTAGGAAAAGTTTAACCATAACTCTTACTGCAAAAGTTTACTATGACTGCCACTTGGTGGTCAAATAGAGGATCAAGAAGATCTTCTACTTTGGAAGACCAAGGCTACTCTTTGAACACGCTGGTAACTAAATTGCAAGAACACACCATCACCTGCAAAGTAACATATGTGACAAGATAGTTTAGAGCTAATGCTCAGTGCCACACCAGGCAAACTCTTCATTCAATCCGGTGTAAGTTAAAAACAACAGTTATACTTGGGCACTATGGCAAACACCTATAATATCAACGTTTGGGAGACAGAGGCAGAAGGGTAATCCCAAGTTTGAGGCAGCCCGAACCATGTAGAAAGACCCTATTGCAAACAAAACCAAGCAAACAAAAAGCCCTCAGCAATTAAGTCTCTCAATAAACTTCATTATGTATGTGGTGTGGTTCAAAGTAATTTACAGGATTTAAAAGTGATTTTCATTACAAGATACAAAATCAAATGAAAAGAGGTAATGAAAATCTAACATAGAAGCAATGCTAAGGCATGGTCTTCTCGAAGACAAAGACAAGAGATTAAGTCAAGATGACATGAAAAGGAGGACAGCAGAAGAATCCAGACAGACCTCACTCTACTGATCTCTGCAAACAGCACTACAGGCCTTGCCCAGGTGGCTTTGGGTACTCACCGTGAAAAAAAGGCTACCTGCCCATGGACACTTACTTTGAAATTCCCACTAATATCTGCATATACTGTCATCAAAATAAATTCCAGATGGAAAGAACAAGCTCGTCTTACCCTCAGGTCTCCTGTGCCAGGGAAGTACTCCCCATACTTATGGAAGGAAACAGTCATCACGCGATCTGTTGTATAAAAAGCTTCTTCAACCCCATCACCATGATGGATATCTATGTCAATGTACAAGACTCTCTGATGATACCTGAAAACAAAGCCACAGTTTGTATTTATTTGTAGAGGTTTAAAGACAGGAACCACCACCACAAATTCAGAAAACGTACTTCTTTCTCAATTTAAAATTTTCTCAAGTGTCACAATTTCTAGGACCACCACAAAGAACCCATTCACAATACACTACCTTCAGACAAGCCAAATACCACCCCCCCCCAGCACCCAACGAATGAGAAGTTGCTAACCAGCGCTGCTAAGCTGCCAAGCTACTCGCCTTCTCAGCAAAGCCAGGGCACACGTTTAAGTGCCCTCGCTGTGAGGCGGCAGCCACTGAGCAGGACCAGCCAGGCTCCCAGGTAGGTCCCACATCCACCCAGCTTGCTTTGTTGCTGGGTTTTCGCATTTTGTTTGTGCTGATGATGTCAGAATCCGCAGAACCCTGGCTGATCCAGTGAGGACGCTCTCAATTTTCTCTTCCAGCTGAGGGGGCCACTCATGTGTCACCTTGAGAGGTCCAACTCTCAGCTCTACCCGAGAAAACGTGTTTGCCTTCTGTGAAACCTGTCCTCTTACACATGCTTTAAAACCCAACACACGTTCCTATGGGTTAGCTAAGGCAATACTGTACTCTAGATTGCTCCTTTAAACACTGTGGGTAAGTCTTCAGCACAACAAATGGGGTTGGCAAAGCGTGGCTGTAGGCCAAATGCTATCTTATTTGTGGCTGTGATTTTAGAATAGGTTTCACCTTTTCAGTTTTAAATGGATGAAAAATAAAATTAGAGCTCAAGGCCAGCCAGGATTATGTGGTAAAACCCTGTTTCAAATGAATGAATGAGAAAGAATAAACCAATAAACAAACAGGGCTGGGGAAGCAGCTTAGTGTGCAATCTTGGGTTCAGTTCCTAGAACAGGAGAAAATGAACAGTAAGTACTTAATGAATGAGAAAGAATTTCCAACACCATCTACGCTCTGCTGAAACACCGGCACCTCGTCTGTCTATGCATTGTTGGGCTTCTGTGCTGACAGAGCCTGAGGGCTGTCACCAGAGTGCAGGGAGCACACATCTCCATGTTGGGGGCGCTACCAGCCAGAGTGGTGCAGTGGAACTCAAGAGCAGCAGTGCAGGAAACACTCACTACCACGTGTCATGACACGGTCTAGTGACACTTGCGCGCAAACAAAGCGGAACGTAGTTCAGACGTCACCCTGGTAAAGCACAGTATCGTGAGGGTCATTTTTCAACCGTCAGAGGATGCAGTGATACCGCAACTGCACCAAGAGAATACGACGTAAGCTCATTTATTTACCAGACTGGACACCCGTAATAGTCTCAACTTGTAAAACGTTAGAAGATCCAGAAAACTGAAAACACTGTTATCTGTGTCTTCACAAAATAAAAAGAAGCTGGTATCAAAGTTATGTTCCTCAGTGGCTCATATGATGGACAAACAAGGAAAACTATGTACTAAGTCAAGAAATTAAATCGTTTACTAGCTCAAGAAATATATTCAGAACTTGCTCAGAAGTGAAGAAATGGAACAAATAATAATCAGAAAAAAATTATCTGATATGCTTTCCTTAGCTCTGGATTAGTCAGCAAGATGTTAAACTGACACAACTCGGGTACTATTTAACAGGTCATTACCAAGTTTCAAGTGACTCAAACTGGGTGTAGTAGCTTACACCTGTCAGCCTAACATTTGGGAGGCTGAGACAGGAGGATGGCTGTGCGTTCAGGGCCAGCCTGAACTGCATAGAGAGACCCTATCTCAAAAAACACAAACAAACACAAAAATTAGCCTCTAGGGATAATGTGCATGGAAGAACATAAGAAAATTTTCAATGCTGAGAAAGTACTAATTAAGTATAAAATCTAAAGCAGAATCTGCTAATGTGCTATAACTAATAATGACTGTAGGAACTGAACCCTGTTCCAGCGTGTGAGGAAGGCCACGTGGAGACTCAGCCCCTGGCAGTGAGCTCACAGCACAGCCACGTAGGCCGCCTGCGTGTGCTCTATGTGGCACTTCCAGAAGGGTGTAAGTCTTCGTGCACCTTAATTAAAACCCTTACCACAGAAAAGGATCACTGCAAACTAACTTACTTTAGTAACTCGAGGATGGCAAGCACGATATCATTAACATAGCAGAATCCTGAGGCTTCTGACTTTTTCGCGTGATGTAATCCACCAGCCCAATTAACAGCCATATCAGTCTGCTGCCGGTTCAATTTCACAGCTCCAGCTAAGAAGTTGAAAGAGGAGCAAGTATTTATGAAACATCTAGAATAAAACAATCTCTTCTCCCCACTCAGCCATCCAATGGACAGGTGCCCTCTCGATATGCTCCCATCGTGAGTACCACTAGATGCCCAAAGCAACAGGACCAAGTGGTGACTGACACCTCCAAAACTGCTAGGTCACAATAAACCTTCCCTTTTCATAAGCTGATTATCTTACATATTCTATTACAGTAACAGAAGGCTGACCAACACAATACTCTTATGACAAGCATAATTATGGATTCCTTTTTGTTATCAAAATCTACCACCACTAAATTACTTTAACCTAAAGAACACGTAAGTATATTTAGAACATATTTTAAATCTAGGATCTTACCAACTGAGCCACCAGTGGAGAGCTGACAAAATTCAAAGAGTCCATCAAACACTGGACAATCTTCCCCGACATTAACTGTGGAATAAATTTGATTAATTTCAAACTATTAAGAAAGTTACTGTTCTGTTTCATACAGAACTTTTTCTACAAAACTTTTATTTGACACAATTATAATCTGCAGTCATAATCTAAAAATTGAAAATTTAAAATATAATTCATGGAGCCAGGGATTTAGCTCAGTGGCATAAGTGCCTGCCTGGCAAGTGCAAGGTTGTGAGTTTGATCCTGGTACCCCCCAAAAAATAAAATAAAATTTAAAAAGTCACAATTTTATCCATAGTATTTTTGTGAAACACTACCAAATCTTATCATCAAATCTTATGCTAACCATTACGAAATGCCTCTGTTCTAATAAAAATACATTTCACATCATAAAGTCTTTGCTTTTGTATAATAAAACGTAGGCTTAATATCCAACAATTAACCAATATTCTAAAAAATTAACTCCAACTTCTTGTCACTTGACAGTCCTCAAATACACACAGTGTCCACAGCCTTGAAATGTACTTTATTGGGTATTTAGAACATGTAGCAGCTACTGGGCTACATCGGTGGTTGGGCTGATCCGGTTCACTGGAGCCAAGATACCAGAGGAGAGGGCTCAAAACAAGGAAGCAGTACCTCCTCCAGGTACACGACACATCCAGACACATCTGACTCTGCAGCACTGAGAGAAACGGGAACAGGGATTGTGTATACCCCATTCTCGTGGAATCGCCATGCCTCCACCAACAACCTCTTCAAAGTCAGGGTCACTGTACGCTCGTGAGTTAGAAGGTCTCCGCAGGGTAGATTTTTAGTTTCTTATTGCTCAGTGCCATTCAATACAACTCAGCATTTTGCAGATTTTAAATCAAGCCTATTTAATTCATTCCCCCAAAGCTGCCCAGGCAGCCTCTGAAGTCTGAATCCACGGGGAAAAGACAGCGTCTGTCTTACATTACTGCTGTGGCACATGGCAGAAATGTGAATCAGTACAGTCCTATGGCCTATGAGGTACCTAGTAATTACACCTCCGGCAGTCACCACTCAGGTCTACTAAGACCCTCAGGGGCTGGCAGGCATGATGGGGAACGCTGAAAATCCCAGCACTCTGGAGGCAGAGGCAGGAAACACTGAAATTTAACCCTGAGGCCACCCTTGAGCAACTTAAGTGACTTAAAAACGCTGCCACAAAAGAAATAAAAGGGGTTAGGGATGTAGCCAAGGACAAGGCGCTGGATTCAAATGTCATGCTGAAACAAAACAGAACAATGAGAACAAACTTGGCTATGAAAGCTTTAAAAAAAAGAGAGACTGTGGCCAGGCCTGCTGACACATGCCTGTTATCTATCTCAGCAGATCCTGAGGCAGGATCATCAGGCGTTCAGAGCCAGGCTGAAAGACACAGTGAGTTCAAAGCCAGCCTGAATTACACAGTAACACCTTGTCTCAGGAAACAAACAAAAGACTTTTAGGAGCTACCGTGTTCCAAACATATTCGCTAAAAAAATATGTTAACCTATTAAAGGGAACACTGGACAGAAGAGAAAAATCAAAAGAATCACTAATACCAACAAAGGGGAAAATATACGTACTCGAGTGTAAGTTAAACACAAACATGTAATGCAAGAAGTGTGCACCAGGCTGCTCTTGGGCGGGAAGTGAGAGGATGAGGTCTCCCTACCCACCCCCACAGGCTTCCCTCTGGTTAGGCTGTGACCGGTGACACAGTCACGGCAGGTAGCCCAGACTGGCCTCGAACTCAGTGATCCTGCTGCCCCAACCTACCACCACACCTAGCTTCATCAGGTTTTTAAGAAATGGTACACTAGGGGCTGGGGATTTAGCTCAGCGGCATAAGTGCCTGCCTTGCAAGCAGGCAGTCGTGAGTTCAATTTCTGGTACCAAAAAAGAAAAAAAAAGAAAAAAAAAAAAAAAAAGAAAGAAAGAAATGGTACACTTGGTATGGTCACACTATCTTCCAAATGAATGACCACGACACTTTAAACCACCAGAAACCCCTAGGGGAATCACTCCACTGATAAGACCCCGAAGCCCCGCGCAGGTTGCCGACATGGGTGCACCCCCGGGCACGTACATCTCTGCATCTGCTTACTGTACTCAGACATGTTGTCGGGCCGTATGGACCGCAGGAACTTGATGTACTCGTCACTGTGGTACTTCGTCATTTCCTCGGCTGTGGCCTTGTGGGGCCTCTGTGGAGAAAACCCAGGTTACAAGGAGCTGTACCGCGGTTCCTAGGGATCAGCCCCTGAAGGGCCGAGGTCCCCTGGAACACGGTAAATTCCAAGCGAACCCAGGGTATGTGTGCTGTGTGTTTCAGGAAAAAGTGACCAGCACCAAACCAGCTCCCTTAAAGGGGAGCCAGGGCTATCATCAACGGCGAGCTCCCAGGCCCAGTCCCAAGTCATGGGGTGTCAGAACCTGGGTTACAGGCTCTTCCTTCCAGCTCCCAGCCACAAAAACTGCCCGCTCTGCCCTCCTCGACTTCATCAGGGCTCCGGGAAGGAGGAGCCCTCTGCACCCCACTCTCTACTCATCTACTCCCCGACTTCATCAGGGCTCCGGGAAGGAGGAGCCCTCTGCACCCCACTCTCTACTCATCCTCTCCTCCCTCTTCCTTTAGGTGTTCTAACTTCCGCTTCTGGAGAGGATGATTGCATTTATGACACGCCTCCCTAAAGCTTCTCTCCCCAAGTACATTAAGAATTACTGTTTTACCTATTTATTTATCTGTCATTATCTACAAAAACATGTAAGGTAGCTGTCATATGTTACAAAGTATCTGTGCTTTATCTAGCTTTTAAGGGTGTTTCACATACATTATGTGCCCAATAAATATTTGTGAGATCAACTGCACAACTACATAAATTGTTTTACTAAAAGCCTAGGTCAAGTCCTTAGCAGCAAGACAGTTTAACATTATGCTAACAAAAATAACATCCTATTTCTGAGTTGTCTCTGGAAATATGAAAGCCTGGGGTAGAGGGAATTCTCCTTCCAACCTTTTCACCCGGTAAACACCCTCCTCGAAGGTAAATAATAAAGTTTAACAGTACTAGTTAAAAAAAAAAAAGCACTAAGTATTCACCGTAAGGCATACTCACATATATTTCCATTTTTCTGTATAAACCATAATTTAACAGTAAGTTATGAGTCATGCGGATTCTGTGTGGTTTCATGGGATGACCTTGTCCATAGTAGTAATTTCCAATATCACCTAAAAAGAAAACATATAAACTAAATAGTACAGAAAAGAAAATCATAAAAACCACTTGAGTTCTCATATATATCCAACACTAGGAGACAGTCATCACTTAATGAACAATTTTATAACGATTTCAAACTGTTTCTGCAGCTTTCAATCTATATTAAAAGCCAAAGATACAGTGTACTTTTTACATGCTGATGACTCTCATTACTTTATTATGTGTAGATTAAAATATTTTGATGTGTAGTTTTCAACTTTTCCTTCAGTTTTTTAACCTTTACAGTTACAGCTTTAGTAATTTCTAGCAAATTTTCAGATGTTTAAGGCAAATTTTCCATGTCTGCATTTTTAAGTACAACTTAGAATTTTTTCAGCATCTACTTAAGTACTAAGTCCTTTGCAGTTAGCACTGTGAGGGTGGGAGTGCTTGGAGTCTGGGTCCTGAGCTGTTGAAGATGTCTCAGTGACAGGGATCTGCATCCTAAGAAAGTGCACCTCTGTCCTAGGCACACACATGACACTCCTCATAAGGATAAGGGATGCTCGTGCTTCAAGACTGAGCAGCTGAAATTCCTAGCCTGTCTCTAGCAGGACAGTAACACTTCCACACAAGATTTCAAAATAAGCCAAACCAAAATCACAGATTTTTGTCGACCAAATTCCAATAAAATCAGTATTCCTGAGTTAAAAGTTCTGACGCTTACTATAACAAGTAACATAAGAAAGTCTCTTAAATGTTTTTCTAATGCAATATATTTATTAAACTAGAAGTTACTTTACTACTGATCCCAGAGCTTAAACAACTCCCAAAATCAGCTAGTCAAACTGATTTTAATGGTTTTAAAGTCTATCATTTCAATAATTTATACAATAAAAATTAAGATAAAGAATGCCACTTATCCACCTTCAAGATTAATAAATTTTTCAAGACTTTGCTATGTTTGGCAATCAAACCCCATCAAACTTTTTTTTTTTTTTTTTGGTTCCAAGGATCGAAATCATTACCTTGTGCCTGCCAGGCAGGTGCTTACGCCACTGAGCTAAAATCCTCGGTCCCTCCCTCCCTCCCTCTCATTTTTGTACATCTGACAGCAGTCCAGAGTGGACATTCACTTTAATATGCTTTTGTATCTAGATGTCTCACAGAAGCGTCATGGGCTCACAAGAGGCTTCCTGGAGTTGCCTGGATCCAGGGTATTTCAATTTAAGAGCTCTTCTGTAAACAATTCCTGCACACAAGGCCATTTAGAAGAACAAGTTTTTCAAGGCAGGGGCCAACAACAAAATTAAGACTGCAGAAAAGCCACACAGCAGGGCTCTGGGGCTATGCCACACTCCTTTGTGTCCCGACCAACTATAAATAAAAAGAACAAAGTGCCTGCCAAAGAAGGTCAGTCATAAGGCTCTGCCCAGTTCCTAAAAAGCAGCTTGTTCTTACCATGGGTTGTCAGGTAAGGCAATTGTTAAGAGCTACCAAGTGCCACATGCCTAAGCTAATGTGAAGTGTATTAGTTGTACATCAGCACTGTGAAGGAAGATCACTAGAGTAAGACTAAAGTTTCTTCTGCTTCTGCGTAAGGGTTACCAAGATGAAGTGTCTCCAGCATCTACCACATCTCAAAATCACGCTCATCAGCAGGCATGGAGAAGCCAATGCAAGCCACAGCTCCCAACGTAAAAAGAAGGCGGGCGGGGAGGGGCGGTATTTACCAGACAGTGCTGTTCCAAGTAGAGTTTGCTAATCTTTTCAACAATTCTATACTGCAGACAGTATTACCATCATTCCTATTTATAACTGCAGAGAGAGGCGAGATGTAAACTGGTCAAGGTGGCAATGCCAAAGTCACACAGCTAGCAAATAAAAAGGCTACCTCAAACCTAGCAGGGACACATGATGGATAAAAAACTGGTGGTCAACTGAATGCCAGTGAATTCATCAGCACGGCGCTGAGCATAGATGTTCCACCTGAGGAAAGCTGCCAACTTAAACAGAGACATGGAGAAAGACAAGGCGTAACAGCGTTGAGGCGTTGTGGCACTGTGGGCTCTCCTACGTGTTGCTGTTTTAGCCATTGGTTCTCCTGGAGAAGCTCTGGTCGGCACATTGAGCATGGCCTCTTAGCTCCAGAGGAGAAGACGTGTGCTGTTTAATCTCCAAGATAAACTACTCACGGTAGCTTTCTGGCATGTACTCAACTGTGCTTATGGTCAGAGGAGCTTGGGGCCTCCTTGTCGCTGAGGATGGCTGTGGTGCTTTTCAGGACAGCCCTGAATCTGTTGTGAGTGTCACTTCTCGGCTCCAGCATAGAACCCTCAACCCACCAGCACAGCTCCTTCCCCCCGCTGGCATGACTTTCTGGCTTCCACCGCTGACCTTTGGGCCCTCCCAGCATGGATTTATAAGAGACTGGTGTGAGTCCTTCTCATGGGCTCTAGGTCTTCATTTGGACTCATACAGGACATTGCTGTGGGACTCAGGCCCTTGACTGAATATTCTGTCTTTGTTGCTATGGATAGATTTCCTGCACTTTCTTGTGTTAACTCTAGGTGACCATCACATAAGCAGTATTATTAACTCCATGCCCCGATTCTAATTCTCCTCACAATCCTGACTACAGCAGTGCTCTTGTAAGCAGCAGATAGTGGAGAAGTGGTAACACTTGTGGTCAGGATAAAGCAAACGCAGGCGCAAGGGTAAGGAGGAAAACATGACATGGCATGTAAATGTTTTATCACAGCTTAAAGCAAACAAGTAAAATAAACAAGTGACTTAACTCATCAAAGTAACCCACTTGTTGCAAAAGGGAGCCTCAAATAGTAGCATAGGTAGCTTTCAGTACTCAGCCACAATTCAGAGACCCTAGCCCCACCAAAATGCACATACAGACACTAAATGGCACACGGACTATCACAAGAAGGCCTGCAGAATGCAAGTGAATTACGAAAGAACCTTCTGGAACTTTTGCTGAATGCCATACTTATTCCCGAGATGCCTCTTCATGGGAACTTACCGAATCAGGTGAAATGTCCTTCCTTAGTTCTATGGACCATGGTTCACATTCATCTAAGAGATCACAGTAATGGAATCTGGGCATTTTAAATGTTACCTTATTTTCACCGAAATATCAAATGAAAATCCAGAAAAATTGGCTCAAAAATTCTCAAACAGCAAACTTTTAGTTGCCATTGTGAAATTATCATTAAGAATTCATATACAACATATTAATAATAATCTCTCACGAGTCTAGAAGCTGTTGGATGGACTTGGCCAAAAGCCCCAATCTCTTTCCAGGGTTTTGGAACCAGGTATGCTTCAAATTTTGAGACTCAGATTTTGTGAAAGGCAATTATGTTACATAAATCGTGTTGTCTTAATTCAGGTTATGCTTTTGAGTTACAAAAAAGTTTGTAATTTTCCTATCATTCTGGATTTCAGCACTGTGAAATGTACCTCTACCCTTGAAAGAAGCAGACTGTAAAACTGTAAAAAAAAAAAAAAAGAAAAAAAGAAAGAAAAATTGCTGTATTACCATAGTGTTGGATTTTAACACAAATGGTCCAATCCTCCTTACAGAGTGGGTTCCCATTACACCGATCTTCTGGATTCTACTTTATCCCAGTTCTCTTACTTGCCAGTCTTTTTAATCTTAGGGTTTTCTCAAGTTCATACTGGATCAAGAGCCTACCGCTTGTCAATATTCACCCAATATTCCAGGTGCCAGGTGCACAGCGATAGCTGTGCCCTAAACTTTTCTGGGGTGCATTCAGGACCTTTATGGATGCCTTTTACAGCCTCAGGACTATATTTCAGCAGCCACTATATGAGTGCATGAATCTAAGCTTCTGTAACCAGGCTCTTCCTGCTGTGTTCTGGGGTCACAGAGGAAACACTTTTCATCCTAACTAAATAAAAATTCTGAATATAAGATGTTCAAAACAAATCTCCTTTTAGTCTTCACAATCTAAGCACGTGGTACCAAAACTCACTTGAACTGCTCAATTCAGAAATTCAGGAGTCATTCTCTACTCTTTAACAAACGTCTCCAGCCCCATTTTCATTTTCAATCTATCAATCAGCGCATTGATTTTACTCTCCAAATCTCTCTCAAATGTTTTTATTTCTATCCAAAACACAACCAATACATTTTAAGGGAGCAGGACATGGTGGTGCACACCTATAATCCCAGCACTCTGGAGGCTGAAGCAGGAAGATCACTGCAAGTTTAAGGACAGCCTGGGCTACACAGTGAGTTCAAGGCCAGCCCAAACTACATAGTGAGACTCTGGCTTGGACAATACTGCCTCTAGGGGAATCTGCTCGCAAAAAAGAGAAAAAAAAAAAAAAAAAAAGAAAAAAAGAAAAAGAAAAGAAAAGGCCTGAAAAGAGGAGAGTTCTATGCAAGGCCCTGGGTTAAATCCCCAGTTAAAAAAAGAAAAGTCAACTTCATCAGAAGGTCATATATGATCTCACCCTTTAGTGTCCAGCTATGCACCCCAAGTCCCCCATCTTCTTCTTGGCACGTCAAGCTCTACCTACCTGCCACAGTCCCAAGTATCTTCCTAGAAAACTCTGTTTATGATTAGTCCGCTCTCCAGGCCTTCTTTCCTTCTGGGAATGACTACCCATCAAACTTCACCTTCTCTGCTAAATTACAATCTTTCCCTTTCTTAAGTAGCTTCTGTCCATCTGCCACACAGTAGGAACTTTAAACCCATTTGGTATTTCTGAACCTAAAGTGATCTCCTGAAGCAACTGAAATTGAGTTACTAACCAGAACGCCCTCAAACTCGCACTTTTTAGAAGTTCTGATCTCATCTACAGTTCTATTAGCTTTCTCTAATTCACCTCCCCAAGTTCAACTGTTTTAAGGATTTCTCAACATTTGAAGGTTTTTTCTAAGGAAAAGAACAATTTACTAATACTTTTTGTTATAGCAACAGGAATTCTATGAAAAGGAAAAAACAATCTTAACATTCCAGGTTTTGATCTCTTCTAGGACCTTTAAGTTAAAGTCAGTGAGTGTAGTGAAGGAAAATGGTGAGGAGTGTGAATACTCTTAGGCCTTTTATGAAGAGGACCCCCCCAAAGCCTCAAGCTCTCAAGGAGGAGGCTGGATCTAGGATAGTGGTGCTGAGACAAAGGATGGAAAGCAGGCACCGGTTCATCACGCAATGCTAGGATTGCGACTGGCCCACCCTATGGGTACCTGAGTAGGACACATGGGGCAGGAAAGAGTGTCACCACTTGTCACTTAACCTGACATGAACTGCTTCTCCTTTCTGATGCCCCCTCCGCCATGCCTGTCTGCCATGCTGTTGTGTCTTGCAGCCAGACAACACGAACTGACATCTCTACTGAGACAAATAAACCTTCATTCATCTACCTGGGTCAAATATTTTGTCTCATAAACAAGAAACAAAATGCCTACCTATCTACAACTCAGAGCAGTTCCAAAAATTACAAAGCAGGCAATATGGAAATGCTGTCTATAAATTAATCATTTATTCATTAACACTTCAAAATTCAAAGTTAGATGCTGGAAACATGAACATGAAAAAGAGACTCCCTGTCCTCATGAAGCTTATATTCTGACGGGGAGAGACAATTTAAGCCACAGAAATGAGCGCAAGAAAACTAAAACAGTGATTTGTTTAAGGCAATAGTAGAAAGTCTGTGGTAACCTGAAATTCCAACAAAGTGGGCGATGAACGAGTTCTAAGAGAAGGTGATTTAAGCACAGTAAACCTCAGTCTTATTCGGATTTACACCGAGCTAAGAACTCAGGCAGCCGTACTAGAGCCTATCTAGTAGAAGACAATAGTACTGTTTTGATTATGCACCTACCACAGGAGGGACAAAATAGCTATGCATAAATACAGCCCTGCTGTGTTGTGTACCTCATGACCCCTAGATGCGCCTGCCTCAAGCCAATTCAAAACGAAGCACAGCCCACACCTCTAAATAAAATTTTAAAAGGTGAGCACTGCCATTAGAGCCAAACAGAGCTGGCTCATTAATCAGAGAAAAATCACACCATGTTAAGGCCAGAAGGTATCTTAATCACCACCTATTTTACAAACTTCTTGTACATAAAGTATACTTTATATATCTTCTAGTATATAAAGGAACGACCAAAATTTAGATTGTTATCTCTAAAAACTTTGGAAACACAGAGCCAGCAGTCACAGTCAAGGTAAGAAAGAAATTAACTGCACTTTCACTGCCAGAAGGTCACTTGAGACAAGCATTTGGTGACCTAAAGGGGACAGTACGTCTAAGGAATAGAGAAAATACTCTGGAAGATCTTTCCCTTGGGAGGAACACAGACTCGGTTGCAAACACTCTCAGATGCCAAAAGGCTCAGTGGCCCTACAGTTCCAAAAAGGCCAAAGGTAGGATAACTACTATTACTTCATTCCCTTCCTCTGTTTTCTCTCTTCTGTACTCTTTACCAACCAATTTAAAACCAGCCAGCTTCGGCTTTTACCACCGCCAGGACCCACTCCCAAGTCAGTTGCCCTGCATACCTGAAAGCCTCACAGTTCTTTGGTACAAGTGTCACTTTCCTTGCATCTCCTTTTTTTTTTGCAGTTTAGGGAACACAAGACCCACAAGCGACGAGATAACTCACCAGAGATTGCCAAGCAGCTGATCACCAGGTAAAGCAGCTCCAAGTATCATGGCAAAACCACAGGACTCAGGCTACCTCCCAAGCCCGCATCCCGTCCCTTGAGCCAGTGTCTGCCTGCCTTCTTCTCAACAAAGGGTCATCCCAGGTTAAGCCCGGAAACACGCATCTGCTTACACACTGTTCCGGGGCTCCTGCTGGTTCCTAGGCTCGACCTTTTGACAAGTTACAGGTAGCTCACTCCATCAGAGTCCATCACTGCCAGCGAGGGACTGCTGCAAGCCTAAGCACACCTTTCCCCTTCTCACCCAGCTTTTACAAGAACTCAAAACTTCAGGAACAAGACAATTTTTACATTCAGTTACCCATAGGGCTACTTTGCAATTCGATTAAAAAAAAAACACACACACAGGCAAGGGTTTGCCACTAACAGAAAGCATACCTTACAATTTGTGTAGAAACTGAACGTTCTTCCATTCTCCACCCCCCCATAGGATAATTTCTAATTTCCATAACACACACATGATTCTCTCAAAAACATTTTTCGAACCATTTGTATTTTATCCTAGCTTTCTGTGAGATTTTAGTTTTTCCAACAAATTACACAATGACTATTCAGCTTTAAAGGATTAAACCTGGCCAAATGCGGAGACAGCATAGTCATTTTTAAGTCAAAGACAAAGTCCACAAGGCTCTTTACCGTATCTCCAAGACATTGAGATTTCAATGTATCAAAAGTTTTATACTGTTTCTTACAAGCCAGGACTTTCAGGTCACTGAGACTAGCTTTTGTCTGACAAATTTTCTTATTTCAACTCTGAAGAGTCAAACAGTGAAGCCTTTGTGAATTCTGTGAAGTTACTACTCTAATGTGATTCATGATAGAAGATTCAGAGCTACATGAACTATCTTTTTAAATTTACTGCAATGTGAGCTCACGCTTACCTATTTCGAGTTACTTAGTGCTCACACACTACTTCTCAAACTTTGCTACATCAGGATTTCCACACCTACACCTTGCCTTCCAAGCAAGACCACCCAAACCTCCAGAGCAGGCAGGGTCCACTTCCGGATCGAACAAAGAGCCACAAAGAAGTGGGTGGGGACCACCTCCCACCGCGGCAGGCCCGGACGCATCCCGCCGGAGCTGTATCTCCTGCACCGCCGGGAACCCGCAGCTCGCTGCACGTTTCCCCGCCGCCTCCACTCACTTCCCTCCAGAGCAAACTATCTCGAACCTGCAAAACCCTAATCTTTCCGGAGGAAGTGCAGCCCCTCCATGGGAACCCGCGAATGTGGCGCTCTAATAACCCAGCGCACAAAGGGGAGGGTCGGAGCAAAGCTCCTGGAGAAGCCGAGCGGGAGGCGCCCGCGCCGGGCTGCGTTCCCGCTCTCTGGAACCCGCACCGGCCCGGGCGTGGGGTCCCGGGCGCGGCGGGAGGCTGAGGCGGCGGCTGCCCCTCCGGGACTCCGGGGACTCGAGAGGAGTAGGGGTGGCGGGGGAGGGGCGGGAGGAGGCGGGGCCCTCACGGCCGCCGCTTTGTGTCGTCCGGCCGGGCAGGAATTCCGAGGGCGAGGACTAGGACAGGGGCGCGAGAGCTCGGCGGGGATCCCGCCGCGGGCCGGGACCGAGGCAGCCGCCGTCGGGTCCGGAGCGGGGCGCGCCCCGCAGTAGGCCGCAGGCCCGGGGGTCCGGCACGGGGACTGAGGAGGGCGCGGCCTGGCCCCGACTCACCGTCGTAGTAGTAGCAGACTTTCTTCTTGCCGCCTCCCTGACTGTACGCCATGGGCTCCGGGGACGCCGCCGCCGCCGCCTCCCGGCTCCTCCTCTCGCTGCTGCTGCTGCTGCTGCTGCGGCCCCCGTGGCCGCCGCGGCTCGGCGGGAAGAGAAGGGGGCCGGCGGGGAGGTGTAGGGGGTGCTCCTGCAGAGGAGGGCAGGCCGAGCGCTGGAGAGCACCGGGAAGGCGCCTGGAGAGCTCGGGACCGCCCGGCCGAGGGCCCGAGAGCGCGGAACCGGGGGCCGCAGCGCCGACTCGCGACTCTGGCAGGGGGAGGGGGCGGCCGCGGCACCTCCGGTGGTGGAGGGAGGCGGGCGCATCCACTGCGCCTCGAAGGGGGGGGCCGGCGCATGGCTGCGCAAAGCAGCCACTGCCGACCCGGGGTAGCGCTCCGTCCAGGGGTGAGCAATTTGCAGAGCGCGGCTACAAGCTCAGTCTTAAAAAAAAAAAAGAAAAGAAAAGCACTCTTTCCACTAGTAGAGCTGTAGAGTGTGCAGCCGGATTTACATCTCCCCCTAGCATATTAGCACAATGGTTGTGCTCACCCCGGGCCTGCGCAGTGGGCGCCGCCTCTGCCCCGGCCGCGGCTGTCTGGACCCCTCCACGCGTCTCCCGCCCCCCTCCCCCACTGCCGCGAAGCTCGGGCCGGAGGCCGCCACGTGCCGCGACCGGGGGCGCCGCAGCCCGCGCTTGCTGCGCCCCGGGCCTTCAGGAGCCTAGAGGCTGCAGCCGCTGCCCCAGAGCCGTCGGATGTTCTCATTTATTCATTTATTTTTCCTTTTTTTTTTTGCTGATAATTACTACGAGTGGTTGATTTACAGAGTCGCTAGGCAAGAGTACATCGCCTGAGTTTGAAAAACATTTATAAAACTCAGGTATGAGGCGCTGCTTCAAGCGTTCGCATTTGTAATACACTTCATTGATGTCTACAGTAAATTCTTAGTCTCCCAACAGTGCTGGTCCCAATTCTTTATAGGTGAGTGGGGACGCATTGAGGAACTTGGTTCCCTGGATGCTAATCTAAGCGGGAAGGAGCTGGAGCTTTCTGGATGACTCCAATGCTGACTGGTCGGTCACTGGAGGCTTGGAACAGAAATCTAAGGACTTGTGAAGCTTTTGGAAGTTTCAGGTACTCTGCATCCCTGTGCTCAGTAATTCGACATTTATCCACTCACCCTAAGCCTGCAACCCTGCAGGTAAAGGGTGGAGGCTGACAGTCTGCAGTGTAACCCTTTTATTCCGGTCCCTGTGCACAAATTTCTGTGTGTGTCTCTCTCATACACAGGCCATATTGGGCCACTTGCCAAAAATCTTATTTTTGTTTGACTTCCAAATCCCAAGAGCATTCATGGTTCAAGCAACTGTTTTCTAGATTCCACCTCAAGAGATATAGGGTAAGTCAAGAGTAGCTGTTGCACCCATGCCTGTGGCTTAACAAGACCCAGTGACTGATGGTGTTCATTTGGGAAGAAGAGTGGGAGAAACTTTGGCTTAGAGGGAGAAGCTAATTACACGGTATTGACTTTTCTATGTTTTGCTCTATCAAGCTGGAAGCTTCTGAAAACAGAGTAAGTTAAGCTGGGCATAGTGGCTCACGCCTATAGTCCCAGCACTGGCGAGGCTGAGGCAGGAGGATCATTTCAAGTTCAAGACCAGCCTGGGCTACAAAGTGAGCTCAAGGCCAGCCTGAACTGCATAGTGCGACCCTATCTCAAAAAGACCAAAACAAAGAAAACAGAGTTAATTTCTTTGCTGAAGCCAACAAGGTGAAATCTGAAAGGAAACTTGCTTCCTTCAGAAAGATACTTGTGTTCCTTCTTTACAAGTCTGTTTTCTGTGCCCTTCAGATGACAGTCATGTCTTAGGCTCCTTTAGCTCAGCAACATGTTATAGCTGCCATAACTTGTGTGAATGTCTCCTAGTTTAATGAGTGACTTCTAGCTAGTCACCTAAGCTCTTCTCTCTGGTCGTCTCTGTCTCTGTCTCTGTCTCTCTCTTCTCTGTCTCGCTCTCTCTCTCTCTCTCTCTCTCTCTCTCTCTTTCTCTCTCTCTCTCTCTCTTTCTCTCTCTCTCTCTCTCTTCTTTTATGTCTAAATTGACTGATCCAAAGGTGGGCTGTGGTGGCTCACTCAGTACTCCAGAAGCTGAGGCAGGAGGATTGCTGTAAGTTGGAGATCAGTCAGGCCTACAAAGTGAGATTCAGGCCAGTCTGAACTTCATGATGAACCCCTGTCTCAAAAAGAGAAAAGAAACAAGAAAACATGAAGAAGAAAAAATAGATTTATCTGTACCACAAGATAGTGTTACTTAAAAAGTAATTTCTCATATGAATAGCAAGAGAAATTATTACTGAGAGATTTCTTAATGAGAAAATTAATTTGGAATAGTTTTTCATCTGTATAGGAGATTTATATGATTAATTTTAATAATAGTAATAACTACAGTATATTGTTGTTTATATCAATAACGTATCTTTGAGCTTCCAAGAAGAGCCTGGATTTATTGTTGATTAGTTGAGAAACTTTTTACAGTATTTTTTGGGGGGATACTGGGGATCAAACTCATGACCTTGCGCTTACCAGGCAGGTGTCTATACCACCAAGCCAAATCCCTGGCCCCTTTTACAGTATTTTTTATTTAACAATTTTAAACCTGTAGAAACAAATGTTTACCCTTAGAATCTAACTTTGGAGAAGGAAGGAGCTAATTTACTCTGTGACGTAGTTGGCTACAAGAATTATGTCTTTGCCATGTATAAAGAATTTTAGATTGAACTGGACATAGTTGCATGTGTAATTCTAGCGCTTGGGAGACTGAGGCAGGAGGACTTCTGTCAGTTCAAAGTCAACCTGGGCTATACAAAGGGACCTTATCTCAAAAAAAAAAAAAAAAAGACCACCACCAACAAAGTAATTTTAGGTTATCAGAGCTGAAAGTGGAATCAATGTGACTATTAGGTCTGTATGTGAACTTTATGATCCCTAACAGATTAATAAAGCACACCCTTGGCTGTGTCTGGTGAGTCATGGGGGCAAGGTCTTGGCTACTGTCTTGGTTACTTTTCTCTCCTTGCTGAGACAAAGTACTCAGCATGCAAAGTTAGGAAAGGAAAGGTTTATTTAGCTCATAGTGTGTGCACATTTCAGTCCATAATCAGCTAGTTTCAAGGCAGGGCGGCATGGCAGAGGGCAATAGTTCAAGGTGGTAAAAGCAGCAAGAGCAAAGAGGGGGTCAGGTAAGAACAACCCTCTTTTCCTCCCTTATGGTGTAATCAGGCTACCCTCTCTGGGAGGGGGGCAGGTGTAGCACTCACACCACCTCTGAGCCCTCCTCTTGCACAGGCTGAGTAGGAGTCAAACTTGTATACTACTCAAGTTGACATAATGTATCAATCGTTACAATCCACCCCTTGTCAATTTGGAAACCAGACCCCCCCCCAAAAAAAAATGATTTCCAGACACAAAGACATGCATATTTTTATCATTTTCACAACTTAAACACTGTAACACAAATTTTACAATTCTAATGACCTATCAACATGATTATTACATAAAAACCATAGCATTCTACCCTGGGCCCCCAAAGATTCATGCACAACACTTTATGCAAAGGCATTTACTCCATTTTCAAGAGTTCCAAAAGTCCTAACAATTTTAGCATTGATGAAAGGTTCAAGTCCCAAGATGTAAGGCAAACTCTTAGCTACAAGTACCTGTATGATGAAAACAAAGCTAAACACTTGAGCATTCAATGGCACAGGATACATATTTTCATCTCAAAAATTACAGATGGAAATACAAAAGACTGGGACCAAAGCAAGTCCAAAAGCCAGCAGGGCACACGTAAACCCCTATGATTCCACGTCCAGCATCTGAGGCAGTCTGTGGCACACTGTGAGATCCAAAGAGCCTGCATGTTCTACCCTTCTAGTTTCCACAGCTTCTCTCTTAGGCTTCACTGTTTCCTCCTTGCAGCTTTCTTTAGATGAACCATGTTCCCAGCTTTTCCAAAACTCTGAGGTCTCCACGTACCTTCAGCTTCATACTTACAGCTTCACACACTGCCCTCTCAGCACACTGCCTGGCCTCCCAGGCCTTCTGAAATTGATGGAAGCCTTTTTAACTTCATAACTCTTGCATTCGACATGTACCTAAAACAAGCACCACTTGGATGATGCCAGGGTCTGCTGCTAACTAACTGGCACAGTAGCTAGGCTTTCCTGTCTCTTGGCTACAGGGGCCAAGATCGCTGGGCACTCTGAATCCAATTCTAAGGAAAAAGTTCTCTATGCTGACACTATTTTGAAACGTGGCACAGCTGCCACCATTCCCATGATGCTGTGCATCTTTCTCCTTACAGCAGTGTCTCACTTTTATAGTTTTGAGGCTGCAAAGCTTCAAGACTTGCTGCTTCTTGTGGTGCCCGTCTTTTCTATTCTCCTGCTCCTGCTCAGCAGTTGTAACCTCTTCACCTCTGTCTTTGTACTCCACAGGTTTATTAGAACTTCCTTCCGACCAAACTCACATTTTCAATCATCTTGTTGAACTCTTTGCTCTTGATTCTCAATAAAAGCTCCCAACAATAGCTGTGCCACAGGCTCAACATTTGACTGCCTTGATATTTCTTCTGCTGATTAGTTGGTTTGCCATCCCTAATCTAAATCTCAGGCAAAGTCTCTGTATATGTGCAAACTGCTGACAAGGTTTTTACCAAACCATAACACACATCACCTGGAGTCCAGCAGCTAATGCAGTCCTTCTTCCCAGCAGACGCTTCCCACGGCTGGACTGTACTGGTAGGATTTCTGTCTGTCTTTGCGGTTTTCTGAACTCTGAATCTCCCATGCAGAACAACCTAAGATGTTCCAGTGCTACTCTTTTAGGGGGCATCTCTGAACCTTCCCAAACTCTTCCCACAACTATTCCCAAAGGCTCTTGAACCACACCGTCAGGTATAGTCACAGCAACAACCCCACTCCTCTGGTACCAAATTCTGTTTTTATTACTTTTCTCTTGTTGCTGAGACAAAACACTTGACACCTAAAGTTAAGGAAGGAAAGGTTTATTTAGCATTGATGAAAGTTTGTGGAGGTTTCAGTCCATAATCAGCTGGCTCCCAGGCAGGGTGGCATGGCACAGGGCACATACTTCCAGGTGATAGAAGACAACCAAAGTAACAGGATCAAAAAAGAAGGGAGGTAAGAGCAAGCCTCTTCTCCCTTATAGTGTAAGCAGGCCAGCTCCCTCCCCAGGGCAGGTGCAGCACTCACAACACCTCTGTGCC